CTGACCATGGAGTACCAGGACAATCTGAACATCTCAGTGCTGCTGTGGGCAAGAAGCTGGTCTTAAAAATGAAGGTGGAATATGTTAACTTTGCTCTGTGGGGTTTTGTTTTTTTTTTACCGCGTCTGCTCAATTGCTGCTTCTGAGACAGGGAACAAACGGGGTATTGAAGAGGTTTGGTTGGTATCTCTGTATGTACACCTCTGGATCCCGTGAAACACGCCTGCCACCCAGTGGATGTAGCTGATCCTATACGCTCCGTGTTCTATACATTTACTACCTCTTCGCGTTGTCCAGCCCTACCCCGTTGGCAAGTTTGAGAAGCAAGTGCTTGGGAGCTGTAAAAATGCCCAGGTCATCTGGTTTGCCCTGGGCCTGTGTGCAGTGATGGTGTCTGTCATGGCATGGTTTTAAACTGATGGAGGGTAGATTTAGATTAGATACTAGGAAAAAACTCCTCCCTGTGAGGGTGGTGAGGCACTGGCACGGGTTGCCCAGAGAAGCTGTGGCTGCCCCATCCCTGGCAGTGTTCAAGGACAGGTTGGACAGGGCTTGGAGCAACCTGCTCTAGTGGAAGGTGTCCCTGCTTGTGGCAAGGGGTTGGAACTGGATGAGCTTTAAGGTCCCTTTCAACCCAAACCATCCTATGATTTTGTGATCTGCCACCATTCATCCGGCCCAGCTGGGGTGATGAACGAGGGGTGCATCTGCCAACGCGTTGCAGCTCCCCTGCTGGGGCAGCAGTCAGAACAGGTAACATGAATGAGGCAGATGAATATATGCAGAGGAAGAGGCAGTTTCACACCTGAGACGGGTGGAGAATTGGATTTTGTAACCCCTGCCTTCGTCATAGCATTTCCACGTACACATAAAAGTTTTTGCACATGGGCTGCTGGGTTTTCTGGGTGCCTGGCCTGAGTCCCTGGGATCTGCTTTGCACTTACACTGAGCTTGTTTGTCTGGATCAAAAGTCCAATGGCTATTAGCTCTCAATGTGCAGAAGATGTTTTGTAGGTCTAAGCGTGTTAGAAATACAGGTCTTGAGTGTCAGCACTGCTCAGTGTCTGGAGCATTTTGCTTTAATCTTCTCATATCTTAATTTTCCCTTCCTTAAAACACGGTGGATAACAGTATCCTTTACTTTAAGGATTACTGTAGTGATGAGAACCACAAAATAACCTGAGACGAAAGGAGTAGTTCCCTCTGTGGTTTGAATGTATGTAGTGATGCTCTAGAGAACACGGGCAAAAGGAAGAATTTGTGTGTTAATTATAGCAAAGCTTCTATGGGGAAAAAAAATGTGACCAGGTCAGTTGTAATTAGAGGTTGACCTCCATGCATATAAGCACTAGGAGATGGTTTTTATTGCCTTAGGCCACTTAGTTTTAATATTTCCTGTTTTCTGCCATGTTAATTGATTTTTTTAATACCATTTTTTGTGTGATCCAAGGTTTTCTTTCCTTTAGGAAAAGAGGTGAAAAGCAGATAGGCAGCCTAGGGTAGCATACTCATGTCACCATCTTTCATCGGCTGTGTTCTTCATGTATTACCTGGGATTCTGCTGTTGAGCTCTGTTGAGGATACCAATGGTTATGTTAGGTCATTGCTGTGGTCTGTGTTGCTGTGAAGACCCATGGGATGGGGCAGGGACAGGGCAGGGAGAAGCAGGACTCCTGCTCGTGTCCCAGGTACCTGGTATTGTTGTGGCTATAGCTTTACATGGGAAGCCTGGAGCCTCCTGCTGTTCTCTGACTTGGGGCACAGTTACTTGAGCTGCAACCCTGTCCTGCGCAGGTGCTGGGGGAGAAGTTGTTTATTGCTGTGGGGATGGCCTGTGTCATCTGATCAGCATGAAGAGTTGTGAAGAATGTGGATGTGGCCTAGGAAATACCCACTGAAAATGCACAAAGTGCAATTTGGATATTTGTCCAAATGCAAGTGGATTTTTCATTGGGGCAGCAAAAGGGACACCTCCAGTACAGCAGCTTCAGCCCAAATGTCAAATATGAAAACTGTCCCCAAGAGCTGAAAGGATGCTATAGCCTTCAAAGTTTGCCAGAGATTTCTGTTAGCACTGAAAGACAGCTTTTTCCCTAGTCTTGTTCTGGGAACAGCTGAAGTATTGTGGCTTGAGTTGTTCTAATTGCAGTCTGCCTGTTTTTGCACCCCTCACTTGGAGGTAACCTCTACAACACGTGGAACAAAATTTAGCCTGAGGCAGACATTCAACTTGGAAAATTTCAACCCAAACAGCCAAAGTCTGGCCAAGTTACAAGCAGCTGGAAGGAGAATCTCACACTGCAAGTGTTTAGCCACTGCCTAAATGTGGTGCTACAAGGTTCAGCAATACTGTGTATACGTTTATATACATGGAAATATGGTGCTGAATTATAATATTAGGTTGACTAACTGGCAGCCAGTTCATTCTAATTTTTCTTTTTTTTTTAATAGAGAATTGAACCTAAACCTCTTTGGTTAATTGTGTGAACGCTTTTCCATATTCACATTAAGACTTTAAAATGGAGCCTCTGAAATAAATGACAAGCCAGGGCTTACTTGTTCTGAATCTTTCAGAACGACTTAACAATCGCTAAAGACCAATTTACAGTAGAACTAGGGCAAATTGCTTCCCAGCCTTTTGAATTGTAAAAAAACCACATCTCCCAAATTCCTAAGCTATTCATCAAGTGTTCTATTGTAGCAGGCTCACCCTATATTGTGTCCCTGATATGTCTATTAACTCTGCAGTGAAGTGTGAGTTTAAAACAATTGTGCCATAGAGTCACTGTGGGATAAATACCACAAACATCGGCAAAGTTGCTTCATAAATCTTTCATAGTTTAGTGAGGAATTTAGGCATGCCTTTCTTCTATGAGAGTGCAGCTGTTCCTTTTGGGGTCCCCCGGGGGCTGGATCTTGGTGTAAGGCTGTTTAATATTGTTACATTCACAGTTTTTATGATGATATCTCATCATTACCCATAGATTACATGCAGGTTTGTGCATGTATTCCAAATCATTTTTTTTTTAAATGGTCAGCATCCAGCAGAAGGCATTTTCCATGCAGCAACGTACAAAGGAACCAGGAATGCAGTTACACCAGCAGGATAGGGGACTGTCTTCAAACTGGTAATTAGAGAAAAGGCTTAAGAATTTGTGCAGGGAATCATCTCAACACAACTTTTCATGGTAATGCTGTGACTGAAGTGTGGTCTTTGGCTGTATAGCAATATAAATATTGCACAGAAATAGGAAAGTATGTGGCATTAGTAAGATCATGGGAATTCTGTGTGTGGTTTTGCTGCTGACATGTGAGGAAGGATGTGAACTATTAGTAAGAGTACAGTGACAAAAGTGATCCACGGTTTGGAAACCAAGTTTTACGATGCAGGGTGTGCAGGGTTTATTCCCCTCAGAAGAGACTAGGAGAAATCATGTCTGTCTATATCCTATGTATGTGTAAGGGAGATACATGATACTTGACCCTACTAAGACATCCAGTGTCTAGGAGATGCAGTTAGGTATGTTTTACCTTGAAATAATAAACGGCAGTAAGGGCAATAAAGCATTCTAATGGATTTGCTGTTGCTGGGAGTGTATTAAGTGAGATGGGGTTTTCTTCTCAAAGATGTGCTTTGCCTTGGCTTGGTGGAGGACGTTTCCAGTGCATGCAGAAGGGAGGGACTGTGCTCTGTTCACCTGCGTTCTTGCCTAGATTGAGGAAACAAGATTATTTGAAGTGCTTTCTGTGTATTGTAGCACATGTTCCCACCTTGGATAAGATTACAATAAAGTGTCATGCTACAGAACTTGGCTGGTTTTCTCGTCTGTCAGGAGGACCATTTTTTCTTTTAATTCGACTTCTGGGATTATGATTAATTACTGTGTACTTTCCTCCGGAGCATCAACATCTGGTGGCAGCTGGAGACAGGATATTGGGTGCTCACGTTCCTCACTTGCTACTCCCTGTTGGTACAGTCTCCTCTCATATTCCCAGGCTGGCGTACATCTTCCCTTACTCAGGATACTGACTGCTGTGTTTAGGGATGAAGAAATTTCCCCTGCCATTAGAGAGGCAAAGATGTTGCTCATTGTTCGGAGTTCAGCTGCTGAGAGCTTGTAGTACCTGCAGTTTCCCCTTAACCACCTCTGTGTCCTTTGGGCATGCCTTTCCCTCTGCCATATCTCCTGCTGCAAGCAGACACCGCACAGGGACATGGGCACCCCATGCGTATGGCTGGGCAGCATAACACCCCCAACAGTCACTAAAACAAAAAGTTATGGTGGTGAAATCATTCTGAAACCCGAAACACGACTGACTGCTTGAATCAAATCAAAGCATTAGCTGTAGAGCTTTTCAGGCAGCTTCACAGCAAAGCTGAGGGTTCAGTTTGGCTTGGGATTGCAAATGAGCCTAAATAGTTACAAAATGATGTTTTATAATTCCATAGTTCATTCTTTTTAGTACAAAAAAGACACATTTTTCCTTTGGCATCTGAACTGGAATAAATACACTTTAAGTGTTGAAGTACTTCTTTCTGTAGAAAATTTATTGTATTGCACCTACTCTAGGGTACAAGGTAAGCAAAACAGTGCCACGTCTGATTTTCAATATTTCATACTGTGGTTTTGATTTGGGCTTTTTCATTCACACTTTAAAATATCCTGTGGATAACAAGTAAACAAGGTAACAAATTGCGTTTTCTGTACAGGGTGACATTAATGGAAGTTTTCTTGTTGAAAAGAACTGAAACTTGAGGAGCCTAAGTTCTTCTAAGTCAGTATCTCTGGACTTCTCAAAACCAGGCGTAGAAGTATTTCTGCTAACTTGGAAATACTTAGGCACCAAAGTACTCCTCTCAAAGATGATTTCTAAAACGACTTCTCTCAGCTGCCATATTGAGATATTCATGTTTGAGGAAATAATGACAGTGCAGCCTTCTAGGGTTTGATCTATATGCCCGTCACAATGTTCATTGGAGTTAATGATAATGTACTAGTGATTTCTAGGAGATACAGGATCGCACTCACTAATAAAGGTCTGTCTGTTTTGGAAGTGCAGTTGTGGGTTTTAGTTTGCCACCTTGTGCCATCTTACTGGTTTTGTAATCCTTAGTGAGTTTTATTCCCTTGCTGGCTGTGAAGTCAAACAGTGTTTTAGGTTGAGATTAAAATCTATGGAATTGTCAAGTGACTTATGTCCATCTCAGGGGCATATCAAATTTGAACATAATATTATTAAATAGCAGAGCTGTATAACTAACTGTACAAATTGTGAGTGTGTATGTAGGATAATTATGCACCCAGACAACCAAATTAACAAAGGCTAGAAATAGTAGTTAGACTGCGTTCTCTGCCAGGTTTCCCCTTCACCGGTGCCAAATGCAACTGTAATCAGGATAGTCAAGAGTTAGGTGTTTTTATTGAATGTGCCTGCCATGTGAGTGTGTGTGCAGACTTCCCATGTAGTTCCTAATCCAGCACATCTGCCGCCAGTGAAGATGTAATTTTGCCTGCTCCCCAGAATTACTTTTATCTCCTTCTTATAATTATGTGTTTATACAGAAATACCTTTTTTTTTTCTTGCTAAAACTTCCTGTTTCAGGTTCACCTGCTTACTCTAGGCAGTGTGATATTCCAGTCTTTTTTTTTCCTCTGTTAATACAATAGTGACATGAAGCAGTTACAGCGTCTGAAGTACTGGGTCATAGCGACATCAATGAAATTTAATGAGGTTTTTCAGCTTGCTTGACCTTGTTCTGTGACTTGTTTGTATGTCATATATTCAGGTAGGAAACAGCATGCTCCAGGTCCTGGCAGAAGCTAGCTCACATGGTATCTGCTGCTGCTGTTTCAACATCTGCTGCTGCTTAGAGAGACACTGTCACTGTGTCATTTCCAGCAGCTTGCAGGTTAAGTGTGTATCGGATGTTTTTGGGGTGTGCTTGGGCTCTTCTTGAGGGGGACTCAAGCTGGTGGTTGAGAAGTGGAACTGTTGGTGGGAAAGCTGCAATTCTGCAACTTGCTGCAGACTTTGAGAGACCTTTTTCAGACAAGGGGGGATTGAACAGCATGCTGGCATCTGTTTTCTGCTCTTTAATTTTATTAAAAGAGGAAGTTCAGTGAGAAATTGCAAGGTCTCTTGTTGATCAAGGTCTGACGCTGATCAAGAGAATTACAGCAGATACGTTTGTTTTGAGGAAAACTGAGAGAGTGCACTCTATCACCAGTTTAAACTGTTGAAGACATGAAGAAGTTATGCTACCCTGTGGCATAAGATTTGTTATTTTTTTAGGGTAAAAGGGAGGGGAAGTGGTATTGTGGGTGAAAGCACAGCAAGAGTAGTCATAAAGAAGGGTGGTGACAGTACTTAGTGTTCATACACTGCTGTAGAAGCACTGATCCAATGTGTTGCGGTAATAATGTATTTCCTAAGGAACAAGAAATCTCTAGGAAAAGAGTGTAGTCCAATGCAGTTTCAAAAACTTCACTGTTTTTGGGGAGATCAACCGATTTAAACAACAGAAACGTGCAAACTGAGTAACTAAGTACAGATGACTGAATTCATTCATGCATTAAAATACATTTCCCCTCGAACCTGGGGAAGACCATTCCTTGTCTTCACACAGCCATTTGTGCTGAGTGAAATGACAGTGGGAGACAGCTCCAACATCTTCTTGGCCTGGACCCTGGGCCTCCTCCCTCCTGCTCTGCTTCCTGGGTTGCAGATGGACGCAACACAAACAAAGCTGCTACCAAGCTCCAGAAGAAAGGCCAGAGCTTGAGTATTTCTAGCAGTAGTTTCTCAAAACAGATACGGCTTCAGGCAGTTCTTGCACAGTGCTTTTTCTTGCTCTCCCCGCATGCCTGCCCTCGCACATGCCAGACAGCACCATCTAATGAAATGGCTGACATTTCATTGATACGGATCCCTGCTGCACACAGTCATCTCCTAAGTAAAATGTTGGGCCTGAGGGACAGCTGTGCAGGAAAAGGCATTGGCTTTATCACGCCATCTCTGGAAGCGGTGTTTTGCATGGGCATCCCAAGGAGGAACATCATTGCTTCATGTGTAAGGAAAACAGGCCGCTTAGTGTCCATGCAGCTTGCATGGTTTACACAGTAGGTTTATTTTAGTCAAAAGGGTCTGGGCAGCTTAGGCGGCAAAGCTGAGGCAGGTTCTGGTAACTGTGCTGAGAGGCTGCTGGGGGCGGGTTGAGAAAATTAGCGGTGTGTTAGTGGAGATACTGGAAATGAGATGTGTCTGTGGTCTGTTGAGCTGTAAACCTTATGCTGGCAGGCTTGTGCCAGCATTTTGCTTTTATGCTTCCTTCTGGGAGAGAGAAATTACACCTACATGTAATTGTGTGCAGAGAACAGGTCCCCCAGCACCTGCTTACCTCCTCTGAAGTAGTGCCAAGCTTTTGCCTTATGTATTTGGGTATCTGTGTGCTTTTTGCAGTTGTCTTTCACTGGATGCCTTTTCAAGTGAAACCTTCATATGGAGCCATCCAAAAGAAAACTTTATATTCTTTTCTTTTAAAGGTTTTCTTAGTTAAACAGATTTTATGGGTTAACAGATTGAGATTACTTTAGGGTTTGTAAGAAAATTTTACTAACCCTTTTTAAAATTCAGTTTTCAAATGTTAATATTACAATGTAGTAAAACGTTTCAACTATTACAGGTGTAGTATTTTAATGAATGAATGAACTGGCTTCTGACCATAAATATACAGCAGCCAAGATGGTGAGAGCCAAAAATGTACTTTTATATTCTTGGCAAATGACCATTTGTGGAAATTTTCCAGGACACATACATATATTGATGCTGAATAATTTTCATATCCTTGTGATGAGATTTACTGATATCTCTTTATCATTGTTACACACTTTTGGGAGTGAAGGAGGTGATTGTGTCATTATGGACCTCATCTGAGGCAAATTATTGCAAATACATTACGAAAGTCTGGTCTACCTGCTCGCCATACCCCTGGGTGTAATTTCTGGGGCAGTCTCTAAAGCAGAGGTCAGACAGCTGAACACATTTTCAGGATGTTGTTTGCTTGGGAATTATAGGTCTGTTTTCTGTGAGAAAACCAATACATTAAGTTTTGTAGATGTTGTATTAATTCCATTTGAAATAAAAAGCTGCAGCAGAAATGGGAGTTTGTAGTCTCTGTTTTATCATTGCAGTGTGGCTAGCTGTTGGAAGGTCAAGTCATACCTAAGGTTGTTACTATATGAACTCCCTCGCTGACTTTACTAGTTAGGTGGGTTGTTTCTCCTCTTTTGCCAAATCTATGAGCCTTAGTGAAAGAAAACTCCTCATTTCATGTTTTCTTGTAGGGAAAAAAAAAAAAGGTAGTTATAGAGAGAATTGCTTTTATTGGGGAAAGTTTGTGTTAAGGACTGTGTACTTCTTCATAGACTTTAAAACTCAGACTAGGTTCTAGGTGTTACATCTTTGCCTCAATAACTATTGAGAATACTACTTATTTTTCTGAAGTCTCTAATCCTCTAGAGCACATGCAGTCTCCCTTTTCTTGTTTCAGATTGATGTCAAGACATGTAGTGATATTAGATACAGTTAGAGACTGTGTAGTTCAGATTTATGATGTGATGGAAACCATATCAAGCCTCCCTTTCTTTTTCTTTTTACTTTTTGGAGGTGGAGAAGGATCCATTACATACATGTTCATGTTTAACTTTTCATTCTGTGTATTTTATTACCAGACTAAGCAGTAGCCTTACAGGTGTTTCAGTAGGCACAAGTATTTGTGCAGGTGCGGTTTAAGGGAGAAAATGCATAATACTGGTTCTTTTGTATAGCAGAATGACTGCCTTTTAGCAGAGGAAGCTATTCTAAATGGGAAGTATTAGGAAAACCACTGAATTTGGATACTGTATTAAAGAAATTTGAGAAGGTAGCTTTATGAACACTGTTACTGGTATTTTTTTGTGCTTGTGCTCCCTCTTTCTTATCTGTCAGATTGATCATGTCCTGTTAGTGAACTGAAGACAAGTAGAAATAAAAATCCAAAGGGTGTTTTTTCATCATTCTGGGGAAAATCCTTTCTTGGGATTGTGGTTTTATCTTCCTAAAAAATTCATTACTTACACTTTCAGATAGGCAGGAAAGGAGATGACAATTGTACGTGTATTTTAACCAAATGTGGTCACAGCTTGGTGGCTGAAAAACAGATGTCTCCATGCTTTTGCTTTTTGGAGCCACTACAATCAAATTCTTCCATCTTTATTCCAAAATGTATCTTGAATGTTAGTTCATATGCCTGAAGAATAGGGAATAGAACTGGGAATGAAAGAAAATAAGATAGAACACATCAGGAAGGGAAGGAAATAAATAAAAGAATGTTGAGTTGATCCAAAGTAGTTTTCTCCTCCTCACGGTAAGGATAAGAGCCAGGGAAACAAGATGCAGAAGAAACTGATAAAATTGCAATAGTTTAAATATATAAACTATATGGTATGTATATATAACATATATATACTATAGAATAACTGGGACCTAGATCAGCACTTACAGAAGAATGTTGAGTTGAATTCATTACCCATAGTGAAAAATTGAAATTCCTCTCACCCAGCTTAGTGTGTGTCTTTTTTTTAGGTTATTTTTTCAAGAACAAAGTGGTAACTTTCACCAAATGTGAAGAAAATGGACTTGAATCTGCATGCTGCTTCTAAATAACATTGAAAAGCAAGCATCTGCAGTTACAGCTTGGATTTCTTTCTCCTCTTCTCCCAAACACTGTGTTGGCATGATGTAGTTTTGAGGAGATAAAAAGCATTAAGTGTGGACAAGCAGTTTTTTTACCTAATTAATGATTGGATTTTCTAAGTGAGCTGTAACCAGCAGTGAAGCACCAGAGCTTTCCCAGTTGGGCATAACCATGAGCTCAACCTCATGTTAATAAAAGTCGTTCCCTTTTTTTAAGACTTGTGTGGTTATACCAGTAATAATATTCTTCAAGATGGAAGACTGATGCCCAAAGGGGTGAGAGCCTGGTTATAATTTTCTTTAGCTAAGTAGAACTGGGAAGGAGAAGACCGTATTTTCACACCTTATATTATACCACCACCCCCATTTTGAGGAATACGGAAGTGTGGAAGAAAACAATCCCCGAGCCAACACAACTACTCAATGAACATGAGCATGAAAATGGACATGAGCCAGCAATGTGTGCTTGCAGCCCAGAAAGCCAACTGTATCCTGGGCTGCATCAAAAGGAGCGTGACCAGCAGGTCGAAGGAGGTGATCCTGCCCATCTACTCTGCTCTCGTGAGACCTCACTTGGAGTATTGTGGCAGTTCTGGTGTCCTCAACATAAAAGGACATGGAACTGTTGGAACAAGTCCAGAGGAGGGCCATGAGGATGATCAGGGGACTGGAGCACCTCCCATATGAAGACAGGCTGAGAAAGTTGGGGCTGTTCAGCCTGGAGAAGAGAAGGCTGCTTGGAGACCTCATAGCAGCCTTCCAGTATCTGAAGGGGGCCTATAGGGATGCTGGGGAGGGACTCTTCATTGGGGACTGTAGTAACAGGACAAGAGGTGACAGTTTAAAACTTAAACAGGGGAAGTTTAGACTGGATATAAGGAAGAAGTTTTTACTGTTAGGTTGGTGAGGCACTGAATGGGTTGCCCAGGGAGGTTGTGAGTGCTCCATCCCTGGCAGTGTTCAAAGCCAGGTTGGACGAAGCCTTGGGTGAGATGGTTTAGTGTGAGGTGTCTCTACCCATGGAAGGGGGCTTGGAACTAGATGATCTTAAGGTCCTTTCCACCTCTAACTATTCTATGATTCTGTGGTTATATACTGTTTCCTCCATTCTTCTGTTTTGTCTTTGTAGAGTAAAAGGTCTTTGCTGTATTAACTTTGGCCTGCAGATCTTCAGCCTGCTCTTTTCTGCCTATAAACAGGAATTGTTCCCTGAGCATTTTAAGTCAAGAGCCAGGTTTCCTGTGAATTTGTACCCAAAGCCTGATGCTTCCTTTTTCTCTCCCTATACTGTATCAAGCTGCTATTTCACCTCAAAAATGCAAATGTGCATCTCCTGATGATGCAGGTGGTATCTTTCCTGTTTGCTGCTTGGTGTTACTAGTTGGCATTTAATGGTACAAGTGAATTTTCCAATATGCTGTATAATTCTGTGGCATATTTTCTGCACCTCCAGATCCGACTTCTGCCAGGATGGTGCATAAATGATATACTTGTGTAGATTTGAAAATGTTCACTGAATAACTTAATTTTCTGGAATGGAATGAATGGAAATTAGTATCATTTCAGAAAGTAAGTAGAAATAAAGTACTTAGAATCACCTGGAACCACAACCTTCAAGTAGTTTACTTAGGGTCTTTTGAGGAAGCAGCAGCTACTGCATGCAATTAAGGATCAGCAATAAAGGAACTAAAGGGTGCTTGCTTAGGATAGAAGAGTTCATTCTCTCACAGAACAGAGAGTAGCAGTGAGTAGGCTGCTTCTAGCTTATGCAGAGCAGCAATGGCTCATATTCTAAAACCAACAGGCATGAGGATGTGAGCATTTAATAGGGGAAAAAAAAACAACAGACATTTTCTTTACTCTTTCTCCTTCCTGGCTGAGTTCATTGACCACTGTCTGAAGAAAAGCTGTTTGAATTATTCTGGGTATAAAAATTAAATTAGTTTGATGTTGCTCTTCAGTAGTAGTTGATGTAAAGGAAGATTTCTGTGACCACAGTCACGAGTGGTATATATTTGTCTCATACGCAATGCTGGAAAATATTTCTGATATGTCTTGCTAAAAATGGGGAACATTAGAAGTAAAAGTTCAAGAAATGAAATTGGTTACAGAGAAACAATGGTTGAAACACTCTGAATTTAGGCTGCTGTCCTAGAATGAGAGTGTTCTACCTTAAAATTCAGGTCTCTGTCCCTTGATGGTAGAGAGAGCTGAAATCATTCCCATCTGACTAGTGGGATGTTTTCCAGAGCACAGATACCTTTAAAGCTGATGGACCCTCAGTAAATGGAGGACAAAATGGGTTACAAGGTTGAACACGCATGCTAGAATGTTAAACTTACAGCATTAGTCTGAAATATCAAACATAAATGTATAAGTAGTACTTTGAATGGAGCATTGAGAATACTAAATCATTATGACAGGTTACTTGGAGACTATTTGAGCTCCCTCCATTAAATAAATGACCTCTGTTAGTGGAAAGCAGGAGAAGAATCACATACGAGAAACCATGTATGCCATAATGTCCTTTTATTCTCTTAGCCTCTGGTTCCAAATTTTGTTTATACCACAGAATCAAGAAAGATAATTCCTGGGAGGCTTTCAGAAAACACATTATAGTAGCAGCAGCAATTCTCTCTGGAACTGACCCCGTAGGTGTGTGTGCAGTGGATATGTCCATCTGCTTTACCTTGTTTTTATGGGCAAGTGACAATAGTAGAGGTATTGGTTTGGTTTCTTGGTGTGACCCACAGGATTGTGATCTTGAAGATTTGCTGGTAGGATGGCTCATGTGGCTGAAGATAAGGCTGCTGCTTGTGCATCTTGAAATGGAGCTGAGAAATTAAAATGGTGTCCTTCCAGCAACCAGGTCACCCTCCCTGCAGCACCAAGCTCCCGGCCCCCCTCCTTTTGCATCCTGTATTATTTATTTTTTTTTCTCTCTTCTCTATGATTTATGTAGTCACCAATTGGTTAATGTAGCATGTATTTGGATAGGTAAGCCTGCTACTTAAAGTATTGATTGTTTCCTGAACAAGCAAGGAACCAGGTGATGTTTCTTGCTAACTGTTCTTTAATAGTCAGTTCTCTATCTGGGTGAGTTACGATGGAAAACTGATTCATTCACATTAGCTCACTTTTTTGCACAACTGATTTTTTTCTCTCCTGCCTCTCCAAGTTAGCACTATCATCTTTTCCCATTAATTGGGGCAGCTGGAAGAGCTGTAATAAACACACTTTCCTTTTCTTTGTGTTCACATCCTCAGCAGTGCAGAAATACCCTGTTGATTTCTCAAAAGAATGTAACATATTTGTGGAACTCTAGTTCAACATTTTTCCTAAAAGTGATGTTTTATCTGGATTTCCTTTAATTCCATACATTTGGTCTGCATCCCCCCAGGGAGTTGGCACAAGTGTGCGAGGTAGTCGAAGTGGCCTGCCTAGGGTGGCGGGATTGGAAGGAGAACAGGGATCGGAATAGAAGCAAAGAGCTTTTCATCTGAGTGGAGCAGAGGAGAGCCTTGCAGCAGCCACCCCAACATGCATATGTGTATATATATATATTTATGAGATGCTCTTTGTTACTGTCTAAAGCACAGACGCGAATAAATAATTCTCTGGTGTTTCTTCAGGATATCAACAATAATTTCCTGCTGCACAGTTGCCTCTCTGGGGCTACATGGTCTCTGCAGCCTAACTCTGCCCTCTGAAAAAGAATCAGTAAAGAAAGAAAAGCAGAAGTGCAGCTTTGGGCCCAGAACTGGCTACTAAGGGTGGTGCCTGGCTGTTCTCCCTCAGGAGAGGGCTTGATGGGGAACATTATGATCCCTCCCCTTATCCTCTCGCTCTGTATAAAGGCCGAACAATAATAGGAATACTAACACTGCCCTGCTGTAACTTCTGTGCATATCTGTGTGCCTATCTCTGGCTGTACCGAATACTTTGTCTGTGATTAATGGCATTCCTTGCATAGAAACGTCTTCAAATCTCAGCCTCATTCTTGATTTTATTTTTTTATACTGATAAATACAGACATTATAAAAAGAAGTCCAGTGTGAGCACTGGGTATTTTTTCTTCTTCTCAGTGTTTATTATTCATGAATATGTTGCAACATCCAAAAATGCAATGGGTGACTCACAGAATGAGAAGAGGAAAAAGACAGCTTTTTAGGAGGATTCCTCAGCCAACTACAGCGTGTCCCAGTTAAGAAACCACTGTTAGACCATGTAAAACTCACCCAGTCCTTGCTTTTATGTCCTTTCTGCATGTATTTGAAACATAGTTGCACTTAGTATATATGTCTATTTATTCATTTGCCCAATATTTTATTTTTCTGTTTTATATTTACAAGGATTAGAACATTCTGACATCAAAACCAAAGCAAAACCCACAGAAAAACATGTTTACAAATAGTTCTGGATTTTATTTTGTGTGTGTGTGTGTAAGAAAAAGAAAAGAGCAAAGGCTAAGTTTACCACTACTGGCGTAATAATGTCTCTAATAGTTTCAGACTGAGCTGCTATTCTTAAAAATTACCCTTGCAAGGGCTTTGCAGCACTGAAGAGAGTGTAATAGTGTGGGGGATCACACTGTGGTAGGGTGTCCAGTGCTGATCTACTTCAAGAATCAACACTGACTTTCTTTCTGGAAAGATTGTTTCTCATTCTTGGAAAACCTGAATTTTTATTCATATGTATGGTTTTTAATTTTAGATATTAATTTCATTTCACACCTACTATCCCCTCAGCTTTGTGTCTTTGCTGCACAGTAACAGGAAACCCGTATTTGCTTAAAAAAACCACTTTGTTTTGAATGCAAATCCATAGAAATAGATGGATGACCTAATACTTGTCTTTCAAAGCAGTTGCTCACCCAGGTGATCATTTCCTTTGGATCTTGTGTAAACTAACTGCAGTCTGTATAACCATGGATGATGTACAATCATATACAAGATATATAAAGTGCATTTTTAAACAGTTTTCAGGGCTGCTACACATTGTGTGAAAACTTGGGATAAAAACATCATATTGCTGTGCCCTTGCTGGTTCTCTTGGGATATTCAGCAATCAGATGAGGTCATTTTGGCTTTGCTCATTGCAAATATGTTGTATTGAGGTGTTCTGTATATAAAACAGCATTGCCATTACAGTGTATAACTATACTTGGGCATTAATTAGAACAACACTGTCTTCTGCCTTGTTTCAGAAACTGTTTTTTCAAGCAGTAAGCTCTTATAGATGAGAAGAAATAATAAATCTAGAGTTACCCATTTGTTGGTATAAAATATATTTCTCTGCCCATTTACTTCCCATTAGTTGCGTTACTAGTTGTAGGGCCCATGCTGAAACGGGGTGTAGAGTGGTACTTAAAGGTGTAAGGGATGTTGGCCTTTTTGGATCAGTTTAATGACTGAATGAAGAACTGGGAAGTAGCAAATTATGAGTGAGCTGGGTTTCAGGATGCAGGAGCCTTAACTGTCTGTCTTAATGTGGTTAGTGATGACATTAGGTGAGGCATGATGATTTCTTTTGTCACTTGAGAAACCTGGGTAAAGTTGCATGTATTTTACAAATACTTGAAGATTACGGTTTAATTCTTTCTTTCTTGATTTTTTTGGGGGGGTTCTAAAACTCACTGAGGGAAGTATGTGCTATAAATTTGTTGTGTCTCTATTTTGCTTTCTGTGTGTGACTGCCTCAGAGCTGTAGGTGTAAGAGTGTGACTTCTGTCACACTTACTGGCAGGTGTATTTATAGGATGCTAAATGACTTTCAGAGCACTTTCCAAAACAAATGGACAAGTAGCATCCAGAGGGAGGGTGGAACAGTTAGTTCAGCTCTCGAAGCTGTGAGTTAAGCAGCGCCTCTGTCCTTTCTCTCTGCCTGTAGCATCCCACAAGTAACTGCCTTGAGTTTAGTTTTTTTCCCCTTCAGCTATTGTGCAATCATGTGAGTTTTAGAGTGGAAATTTACCTTAGAGCTGGCCCCCTCTAGTAGTTCATTGCCACCCACAGAGGGAGGTCCTGTGTCCTTTGCTGGCAGCTCTTCTCATCAGTCTGTCTGAGCTGATTCAGTAGCAGAGAGTGCTCCCCACCCTCCCCAGTCAGTTTTGTGCTGCAGTAATGTGGTTAATGGGATCAGTGGAAGGTTTAACCTGAGCCATGGACCAGAACTGGTGCAAGGACAGGATGGGGAAAGAAAAATGTGGTTGGGATTGTAGAGAAGTGTCAGAAATAAGATGAAGCCCACTGCTTCTGGCTGAGTGGATTAGAGATTATGTTGTGTCAGAGCTGTATTTGCTACCTGGATTTCTGCAGTTCTTTCCCTCAGAAGCTTGCTTCCCAGTAGAAGGGAGGATATAACCACATTTTAAACCATTCTCAGAAGTACTAAGAATCATTACTTCTCAGCAGAGGCAAACCCGTAACAAAAGGAGGAAGGAAGGGACTTAGAAGAGTGAGGAAAAGTGACTATATAAGTAGATATTCCTAGCGGCTTGTCATATCTGGGATGTGACCTAGGAATACCTTAGAAGTGATCCAAGAGAAGTTTGTGCAAGGCTGTACAAGGTCAGGGGTTTGGAACTGTGTGGGATGTTGCTGTTCCACTGGCAAAGGCAGCCCCCTTGCCAAATCTGCCTTCACTAGGAAACACTGGAGGCAAACTTGGAAGTGTAAAATGGATGAGGTTAAAGCTGCCTGGTGCTCAGTTGTGATGCATTTCATTTCCAACACCTGTTTCACTCCTTCTCTTCTCCTAGCGAGGCATAATTTCTGAAGGCTTGTGAGACCACAGGCTTGTGAAAGACTCTCTTGTGTATTTTGAAAGAAGACATTACTAACTGAAGGATTCCAGTTAAACACAGGACAGCTGGGATACCTTCCCTCCCAGCTTTTGAAAAGAACAGTGTCCTGCTCATATGTGCTTTGTTTACTACCACCTTTCCTTTCCTACAGTTCAGCTCAAGTTCAGAAGACCATCAAGGTGGAAAAGTAGAATGGTCTGAATTTGTGATTAAGTTGTAAAATAACATAGTTACAAGAACTTTCCTACATCTGAAGTCCTATAGCAGACACTTCCTTTGGAGATAGGAGTAAGTTTCCTTATAATCTCCTAATGAAATTTCTCAGTATGTAAATGTTTAGGTCATTATGCATCTGGCAGTGTTAGAAACCCACAGTAGTTCTGCTCTGTGTTTTTACCACAGCAGGAAGTGCCAGTCCAAAAATCCGAAGTACCAGGAGAGTAATGCCATGATAGAGATATATTGTATTAAACTGCTTTAGCAGTGCTAATACTGTTTCTTGTTGTTGTAGACCAAGGAAAAGGAAGATGCAGGGGTTTGGGTGCCAGCTCAAGACCTGAGTAAAGGCTGCGTTAAGTGCTGTTCTTCCAAACACATATGGTGGGATCTTGGGCATGTCCATTGCTCCGGAGTTATTCCCTGCCATGCTTATCAATGGGATTCCTTCCTGTAGGGATGACTAAGATTAAATATGTTGCAAAGCGTAAGATACTGTGATCCTACAAAACCAAATCGGAAACTAATTTTCTTAAATCAGGCTTTTTATCTGCACTTGAGCCAGAGTTTGGTGAGGCCCCAAGCCTCTGCGAGTAGACAGTGTGGGACTGGACTCTCAGCAGGGTGGTAGGATCTCCTCTTGAAATAGTAGAGGGGAGTTACAGCATCTCAAGCTGCTTTAAGAATGGCACTGCAGGGTTCTACGTAAATAGGGGCTTGCTAGGCTTCTCGTGTGGTGACCTTGTGTGTAATATAGCAGGAAAATAAAAACACAAAGAGCTTTTAAATCTAAAGTTTCTCCTCCCTTTCATCAAAATAGTATTTTCTCCTCCCCAACCCCCATCCAAAAGTGAAAGCTGAACAGTCAAAACCCTCCCTTTTGCCCTCTTTTCACGAGACTAAAATGTGTGTTTTTAAGTGGGGCAGCATTACCTCCAGAGCGCATCTCTTTGGTCTCTCTTCATAGAATCACAGAATCATTTAGTTTGGAAAAGACCTTTAAGATTATCAACTCAAACCGTTACCACAGGACTGTGAAGTCCGCCACTAAGCCATGTCACCAAGGGCTTCATCTTCTTGGGTTTTGAACACTTTCAGGGCTGGTGATTCTACAGTTCCCTGGGAGGCCTGTGCTGATGCTTGATCACTCTTTTGGTGATGATTTTTTTCCTAATATCCAATCTAAACCTCCTCTGGTGCAGCTTGAGGCCATTACCTCTTGTCCTTGTTACTTGGGAGAAGAGACTGACTGCCACCTCACTACAACCTCCTTTCAGGTAACTGTAGAGTGATAAGGTCCCCCTGAGCCTTCTCTTCTCCAGACTAAACAACCCCAGCTCCCTCAGCCATTCCTCATAAAACTTGGGCCCTTCACCAGCTTTGTTGTGTCCTTGCATGACTTTGTAGCCTCATGCCATCCTTTGTTCTGGCAGGCTCCTGTGGACCCCTTCTTGTGCTTCCTGGGGAAGCATCCCATCCTATCCTATCCAATCCCACCCCACTCTTGTAGACCTGTAGCTTTAAAAGCAGGTTGAGAAGGAGGGACATCAATTACCAAACCAGGACATAAAGAGAGAATTGGCTCCCTCAGGGTCACACATGAGGCCAGCAGAGGTGGGAGCCACATCCAGGTGGTGTGCAGCCCACTTGGCTGCTCGGCTCCCCTTGGGATCTGAATAGGCATGTGTGTCTCTGGTAGCTGTGGCCAACAGCAACGTGGAAATTGTATTAGGCCTTATTTATTTATTTGTGCAGCCTTAACTTCCCCGCTGGCAGGTTCCACCTCTGCCGTGCTGTGTGGTTGCACAAATATTTGAGCTGGGAAGCAGGGGAGGGGAGAAGCTCCGTGCAAGGAATATGCCGCCAGGATGGAGCGGAGGGCTAAAGCTGTTTAAGTTGGCTCAAGTTGTGCTGTTGGTCAGTGTCTAGCTATGTCTTTTGGGCAAACGATGATCTAAGTTTCATAGAGATACTCATCCCAGCAGTGGGCAAGGTCACTTCTTCTTTAAGCCAAATTGTAATTAACAAGAAGCCCAATACAGTTCCAGGGATGAAAATCCACCCGCATCCTCTCTCCCTAAATATGTTTACATTTTACATATGCTTTTAAAAAAATACTGCTTCCAGATTTAGCTTAGAAATGGACAAATGTTTGCGTAGCCTGTGCTCATACATCACTACCTAATGATTTTTTGATTGAGTTCATTGCCTGGGTAAGACTTGGGTTTTTTCCCCTGTAAAACATAACTATTAGACTTTTTTTAATAATGAAAATGGCATTGTCCCTGTGCCAATGTCACAGTTTCCTTGTAACTGCTGGGCACCTGGGTCAGATTTCTCCTCTCCATGCCCCATGATTTCTAAAGGGTTTTACAGCACAATAAACAAATACTTTTAGATGTAAGATTGGATTAGAATGTAGTTGTTGGAGGGAGGGGAAAACATCTGTTGCGAGAGGTGGAAAATACATAGACTAAAATAACACTGCAGTGTTTCCTCCATGTGGTCTTTTTTCAGCTGAGAAATACAAATGAAGACATATTTTGAGAGAGCACTGTGGCAAAGCTAAAGCTACTTTAGTAGTGATTTAACTGATAGGTTTTTACTCAGTAAGTCTTAAAAAACTGCTGCCGCTGCTTTTTTTTTTTCTTTTTCTCCAGAACTTCTGCTAAAGCTGGCAGGCTGCAAGGTGACATGATAAAATCATAGAATCACAGAATGGTTTGGGTTGAAGGGTCATTAAATATCATCTGGTTCCCTGCCATGAGCAGAGACACCTTCCACTAGACCAGGTTGCTCCAAGCCCCATCCAGCCTGGCCTTGAACACTGCCAGGGATGGGGCAGCCACAGCTTCTCTGGGCAACCTGTGCCAGTGCCTCACCACCCTCACAGGGAAGAATTTCTTCCTAGTATCTCATCTAAATCTACCCTCTTTCAGTTTAAAGCCATTCCCCCTTGTCCTATCTCTACATGCCCTTGTAAAAAGTCCCTCTCCAGATTTCTTGTAGGCCCCCTTTAGGTACAGAAAGCTGTGCAAGGATCTTGTGGAGCCTTCTCGAACAAGCCCAGCTCTCAGCTTGTCTCCATAGGAGAGGTGCTCCAGCCCTCTGAGCATCTCCTTGCTCAAGGTGGAACTCTCTCAAGCAGGTTCATATCTGTCTTGTAATATAAATACATCTAATAAAATAATACCTGGATAACTGCTCTTTAAACAATAAACTGGGAGCCAGTTTTGCCTCTGAGTGCCTTGCAGGTGTCAACAGGGACTGAATTACTTAGAAGTAAAACCAAAATTTTCTTCTTGGTTGTTAAACTTAAGCAGTAGTTGGAGGTACTGATGACCGTAAACCAGTGAGTTTTGCTCAGCGAACTCCTGTTCAATTATTACTGGGAAGGTTAATGACAGCTGCCCTTAATCATATTTGGAATGATTTCAATGTGTTGGCTGGAAGTAGCTTCAGGTTTTTACTCACATCTTTGCCTGCCCATTGCAACATCTCTGCTGCTTTCTTTCCATTGCTGCCTCTCAGCTCCTTGCCCTGCAGTTGTACCCTCTCCTTGCCAGCATGGGCTCAGGTCTTTGTGGCCTGCCTTTCCTTGTGGCCAGCGTGGGCTGTGGACTCTGTCCTTCGGGAAATTCACAGAAAACGAATGGGTGTACCAGCCTGCACGCAGAGCCTGTGCTTCCTTCCCACCAAACCCAGGTCGCTCCTCACCTTCTGCGCCGTGTTTTCCGAGGTTCAGTTCCTGTCAGGCCTTGTGGTGTGCCCAAGGAGTTCGTGGAGCCCATTTGAAGCAGTCACATTGCCTTTGTCTGTGCGCCGAGTGGCTTTCAGTGTCTTCTTTATTAGGCACCAAGGTTCGTTTAAAGAACTTAAGAAGCATTCTGGAAATTTACTGGAAATTAACTGGGGATCCTCGAGCAACCTGTTGGATGTTGGGTGTGCGTCGGTGCTTCACTGAACCCTGCACATTAACCAAATTTTCCTGACCGATTTGGGCCCTCCTAAGTTTCGCTTTCTCCTGGCGTTAACCAGTTTAGCAGGGTGGCACTGGCAGAAAATCCTACATGTTCCACAGAGACGCGCTTGTTTGTTACTCGTGAGGAGTGGGGCGGGATGTCACCTGAGGGCTCTACGCGAGGTGTGGGCGCTCAGAGGCGGGCTGCCGCAGCGGCCGGGCCGACGGAGCCGATGCCGTGAGCCCACCGCCGGTGTAAGCTGTGAGGGGAACCTCGCAGGGCAGCGGCCCGTACACGACGGGTGGTGAAGCGGGGCCGCCGCGTGTCCCCTCAGCACAGCCCGGGGCGGGAGCGGGGCCGCCGCCACCTGCGGGCCGGGCCCGGGGGAGCGCTGGTCGCCGCCCGGGGCGTGTCGTGCCGAGCCGCGCCGAGCTGCCCGGCCCCGCGGTGACTCACCGGCCGGGGCCCGGGCACCACTTCCCCCCCTCGGCAGGAGCCATTTTAGCTGCACGAAGCTGCGGGGAGGCCGGGGCGGCGGCGCAGGCCCCGCGGTGAGGTGGTACGTGCTCCCCGGGGACAGAAGGGCGACGGGCGGGCGGGTGGGGGATGCTGCTTCATCGGGCTGCTGGCCTCCGCCACCTCTGCGTGCTGCCCGCGCCTGGAGCGGCTCTCCTCGGCTGTCTGGGGAGGGCTGGAGGGGGAAAGGGAACTTCTGGTAAAGTGCAGCACCAGGGCGCGCTGGGCAAAAACTAATACAAACTGAGCCGCGAGTTAACAGCGATGTGTGGAGCGGGAGCGCCCTGAGTGCCCGTGTGTCGGCCCGGGCAAAGGGCGCTGTGTGTACAGCGTCTATGTGTTACAGCTGAGTTCGCTGTGTTTTACAGTTGCGTCGCCTTCGAAGCTGTGGCGGTGTCAGGCAGGCTGCTGAGCGGACCCCTTGGGCAACCCAGTCTATACATTAGGCCGAGTCTATTCTGAAACTACATTTACCTGGACCCTGTTAGCATGTAGGCATGCGAGTTGGACAAAGTGTTAATAATGAGCGCTGCCGCTCTGAGCACCTTTGGACCAGCGTTCGCCCAGTGTGGTCCGGAGCGACGTTAAAATGGCAGGTTTGTTGTTTCGAAGTTGGGTCGCTATCTACGCCTGCAGCCTTATTGCGGTTCCAAGCTCTCTCAGCGGTGTCGTTCTGAAATAGAGGGAGTTAAACGGCGCAAAAAAAAAAAAAAAAAATGGGGCAGGTGCTCACCGTTTCCTTGAAATGATTGTGAAACAGTGGTCATGGGCATGGCGTGCATGGCAGAGGGGCAGACCAATTATAAAATGGGCTTAGTGGTAGGTGTAATGGGAGAAGATGATCCTGGAGGTAATTGCGGTGTGTCAGATTGCTTTTTAAACTTCCAGTGGATGAAAAGCCACCTTGATTCTCCTAATTATGAACTTCTGAACTCTAGCACAGTATTTTGGAAAAGAATGAATGTTTCTGCCTTGTTTGTAGTTGAACAGAAATGCAGGCTGCTATCATTAGAACTTTTGTCTGAGTATGTAACTTTGGACCCTTTATTTCAGTCTTCCAGTTGAGAAATAAAGTTGAATATCTTCTTGCTGAAAATGAAAGGTCAGGGAGTTCGAAGTGTTGCACACAGGGCAATAGTTTCCAGTTTCTATTGCTGTATGGAGCCTATATCTGAGAAGTACAATGGAGTCTTGCTTAAAACTGTGATCGGTGGCAGGGAAAGGAGAGCGGGAGGCAACCATTAAGTGAGTGGTCATGTTTTGGGTCAGGCCATCTCCTGTCTTCAGCCCTTCCAGTGTTCACCCTTATCTTCCTTCTGCATTGTACAGTATGTTGTGTGCTTTTACCATATTTTGATTTTGTGATTTGTCTTTTTTCTTTCTAAAAGCCACAATTTTTGAGAGATTTATTTGGTGCATTGTTCCATGTTGAAAAATCCACAGGCAAAATGATAAAAATACAGAGGAAACACTCAGAAAAAAACCCACCCACCATTAAAGAAGCAAAAAAAACCCAGTTTGAGTTAATGATTGACTTTTTTTATTGAAAAATCCTGTAATATATTTGCATCTTCTTTTTTTTTTTATCATGAGTTTTATTTTCAGATCACAGGGCTGTAGCAACAGCTGTGTTTGCAACTGACAGAGTGCGAGCCTCCCTTCCCTTCCCTTCCCTCTCCTCCCCTTCTTTCTGCTGGGCCCTGTTAAGACATCCAGCCTTAAAAGCTGTAGTTATCCTAAGTCGGCTTCCAGTCTGCAGCTGCTTATCTGGGGTAGAACACTTTTTGTGTGCTAAAGGGTAAGTAGCTGCTGCTGCTTTCTCTTGAGCAGGGCTTCTCGGGGGAGCAGTTCCTCTTTGAAGGCAAAGCTGCCATATTCAGGCTCTCGTGCTGCTGCACAAGGTCTACGCCAGGGCTACAAAAGCATCTGGGTGCACCGGTGGAGCTAGGACAAAATGATTTGAAAGTCCTCCAAGCCTGACAGATGACAGCTTGGACAGATCCTCTAGAAGGCAGGGAAGTGGATTAGAAGGGACAGAGAAATGGCGTTTGTTTTTGTTGATTTTTATAGGCAAAGCCTGTGTTTGTCTCAAAAAAAAAAAAAACAACAAAAAAACCCCAAACATTTTCTCCCCCTCGCCCCCGGCAAGGATCTTTCAGTTTGGATCGAGTTTGTGGTTGTTGAGAGATGAGCCATGGGAGTGGTATCATTAGATGCCAGTTAGCTTGAACATTATTTCCAGACCCATGCTTTTACAAGAAGTGCTTGTTTTCTAATATGCTCTTTTTTTTTTTTTTTTTTTTAAGTTTGTTGAACATTAGAATTTCCAGGTCCATGGTCTTGGCACTCAAATGAGAAGAAAAAAAAACAACCCAAGAAGTAAATGTCCAGATTTGAAGAATGTTGTTGGCCTGGTATAGCCTGATGTTTCAGTATTGCTGGGAGGTCATACTTCAGTAGCATGTGTTACTCCTCAGATACTCCTGCATATGAAAAGAACACCACCACGAGGTGTATGTGCATACCCTTTTCAGCACAGCTGTATTCAAGGGAAGGGATACAGTAGGGCTGTGTCAGGTGAGCTGATAGAATGGATGTTGTAAGGAAAACGTCGGATTTCCCTGCGTATTGGAAGGGCAGCTTTGACCTCCAGAACAACTTTCACTTCTTGCAAGTGTTAGCAGAAGTTTCTCGGCTTTCTCTGGCAGATTTTGTTGTTTTCACTGACAGTTTTGGTAACTCGCTGGAGTTGTGTTGGGTGTGCGAGGAGCAGCAAGATCTTTCCCCCACCAGGGGTGATTCAGCACAGGAGTGGCAGGAGGTGGAGTTCACATTTCCAGCCTTGGTTACGATCTGCTCTGTAAAAGCTGAAACTTTGCTACCATAGGCCAGTGATTTGTCATGCTTACTGTTTTAATGCCGCTGATGTGCTTTAGAGATTATTTGCTTCCTTAAATCTGACTTAAGTGTTGTTTCATTAAATCTTACTTAAATGTTCCTTCACAGATAAAGTAGTTGCTGGAGACTATGCATGGTGAAATTTTGGAGTCTTTTGCTTATCAAAAGTCCGCAGCAGCTACTGGAAAGGCTCTAGATATTCTCACTCTAATCTGTGTAGAGGTAAAAACAATTTATTCTTCAGTATGGGCCTGTCCTGCAGCAAAGATTCCCACTGTGTCAGCCTTTGTGCTAAAAGGATCCCATTAGATAGGGACTGAAGTTTATGCATTCCTACCTTGATGTGCTTTAGGCCTTAACTACCTACCAGCTATCTTTAGTGATGAATCGGTTGGCTAAAGCTCAGGTCTTTTATTTGTCTTTAAAGAGATCCCTCATCTTGGGTCACATGTGACTTTGTACTAGGTTCAGGTTTGAATGTGAAAATTATAGCCTCCAGTTTCTTAAACTTGCATGTGAAAATCACTTTGTTCTGTACCGGGGGAAAAATATTACAGTTAAGATAGTCTGCTACGAATTCAAATAGTAACTATATAGGTTGGGAACTGTGGGAAAGGGTTGTTTTCTAGATGGATTTAATGTCAGTGTTTGCTTCTATAATTAGGCATTTTAGTCTATTTCTAGAACACCCTGTATTTAACTCATCGCCAACATTTCTGTGTGAATATATGGAATATATCTTTCGTGTTGAGGGGGTTGTTTTGTACTTGTTGAAGTGTTACCGGTGGTGCACTAATGGTCTCATTGCTTCACTTGAGAGCATCTTCTGCATTTGCTTCACTCGCCTTCTTGTGTTGTAGTGGTTTGACTGCTTCAGTGGGCTTGATATAAATGTCATCCCACACGAGACTGAGTGTCAGAACTGAAAGAAAAGGGTGGGGCTTGGTTGATTCAAATTATTGTCTGCCATTGGGAGATAAAATATGTCAATGTATATTGGGGCTGATATGCTGTTTGTCATGCTGTGTGTTCCTCTAGAGTCACTTGTGTTTTTCATGGGATCTTCTAACAGGTTTAATAAAGCTGACAGATTAGGAGAAATCTACCTTGCTTTTATGAGCTTTGTGTCAAGTCACTTCTGCTGTTCTTCAGTTCCTGGCTGTCTCAGTGTTTGTTCAGTTTTATATTGCAGCTAGGGAAAAAAGCAGCAAAATGCGATTGTGAAACTACGGCTTGTAATACCCAGGGCTGACTGCTGACAGAAAATTAATGTTTAACATGCCCTTCCAACCAGCCTCAATTTCAAGTTAAAAGCAAGTTGACAAGAACACTGCTAGTTTTCTCCTTTTTGTGCGTGCTGCTTGTGCTGCATTAGATAATTTTGGAGCTAACAAGAATGGTTTCCCAAGGATGTGATAGCATGGTTTGTTTTTAGTGGAGGCTGTCCTTCCGACCAGATGACCCTCTCTAGAAAGAGCTTTCA